GGGGGGGAGGGGGGGCAACAACAATGTTTGGATAAATTGCGAAATGCCGGACTTGAACTCAAGACCTTAGACTCTGCTACCATGTTAAGTTTCATGCACTAGACAACGCAACCAAAAATCCAAACTCATGGAAAGGCTAGGCAATTCACTGTTTGGTTTGGAGGGATTTTGGAGGAATTATATAGGATATAATTTCAATAGGAAAAATTCTTTTTGAGTCCTTTGGTTTGTAGGAATATAATCCTATTCCTATGGAGGAATTCTTCCTATCCACCACATTTCATAGGAAAATAAACATTATCCTAGACTCAATGGAAATATCCTATGATGTGGACCAGAGGACATCTCTTTTCTTATTACTGTTCATAGGATTTGATACACTTCAACACATCCTTATTCCTCCAAGTGCCCAACTTTTCACGATTGGCTCTAGACCTCGGGGGCCCATAGGCACTCTTTGGTCGACTTGGTCTGTCGGGCCCACAGGGTATGTGCCTCTGATAGTTTAGCACTACTTGCAATTTAATGACATTTATATTGTGGGGAATGTAACCAATGCCCATAATAGCAGAGATGCGCTGAGGGAGTGGGTGGCATGTGTTGACGCTTGGTCGACCGACGTGTGATATTTTAGCAATATTAATGGAGAGGAGCACTCGTAGTCCTGCATTGAAGGTGTAGGCCTCATGTTCCGTCATCAAACATAATGCCTCTATGACATATTGTCGTGATCGTTGTCCTTGTATGATTGTCTTCCCCTCGGATTTGTAACATGTATTACGCTATTGGATAGCACCATCCAAATAACCCCATCTGATGTTTGAGGGCCATTTTGCCACCATGCCAGGATATGCTGCCAAGGATGTGATGCTTTCTTCCTTTTGGGGGGCTTTAGGGATAAAGAGAGTAGTAACACTTTTATTTCAATGATACTCAGATCCAATGTGATATGATAGCCAATACTGGCAACTAATACATGTCAACACTCCACGTGTGATGCCACACACCAAACCACTTCAGGGGGTTGATCAGGGTCTAAACCTTGAGGGACCAGAACACAAAACCTAAGGGGGCCAAGTAGACTTTTTATATCTCATTGGCATCAACACTCCACGTGTGTAATTTTCAACATATTACCCCCCCCCATAAGTCTTTAGAGTATCAAGAATTATCTGATTTATCCATTTTTTGTATTTTCCTCACCTTTGTGTTTTATTTCATAGGCTATCATACGCCACATGACACTAAACCACGTAAGGGATTAAATTTGTTAGATGGGGCAAACTGTGGAGTAAGGGGACGGTAAAAACCAAAAACAATAATCAAGTAGACACTCAGTAAAAACCAAACTAAGGAGTAAAAGGTTGCTCTTGCTGATTATAACTTCTAGTAATGCTATTCTCTATGGTTTCATAGTAGAGAATCATCTTACACAACTTGGACTTGTAGATCCCTATTGGACCAAAATTATCAAGCATGTCAATGGAATGTTAAGACACAACGATGAGAAGAGGCAGAAAGCTTGATCACTCTTCTCCCAAAGCAGGGTCACACTGGAATCCATTATCATTAACCGAACAAAAATATCCCAACTAGCATAATTTTGCGTTGTGACTTGCGAAGAAATAAATACCAAGAACACCAAGTATCCTCCAAAAATTCAACTTAAACAAACGAGAATACCCGTGAGGATTTCCATAGAAATCCTGACGACCAATTATAGTTACTAAATGTAAATTTCGCATCAAATGAAAAACAAGAGGGTATTAAACCATCCTGAACAAAATGGAAGATTGAGAACACAACACGTTTAACCATAAAAATACTCCCACTAGGGAAAATGGTATTAGTCTTCTTTAGGGAAACAAACAGGGTATGCTAACTAATTATCAATCAACAACTCATTTAGCTGACTGCGTATTTGAAACTATGATGTAGAACATGTTAGTTGCATATGACCTTTAACAAACATTGTAGAATCTTATTAAATGCACATGATTTTACAAACCTTGTAAAATGTGCACGTTGGTATTCGAAAAACTGGTTATAGTACTATAAAGTATGAGATCAAATAGGAATTTTTCATCAAGCAGTAAATGATGGTGCATTTACCTGTGAAAGAGGGGTGCTCCAACCTTCTAAGAGGGACCAATCAAGCACTGGCCTAAGGTCCTTGGTATCGGCAGCCCAGCATCCACCTTCACCTATTGGTATCTCAGGACAAATTATCTGTAGACAAGGACCAGGTAGAAAAAGTACAATACAACTCATATTAAATGCACCACCAAACGAAGCAACAAATGCAAGTATTGTAAATTATACACTCATGCAATGAAAAGGGAAATAAGTTTATTATCACTACAAATAAATCCAAACAAGAAAATATTACATTACAAACAAAACAACAAACCATGTGTGCATACAGACATTCTAATCATTTTCTCGAATAGAAAGCATTGCCTTCTTTCAGATGCCATACCCCTCATACTTAGGCTAAGATCGCTCTCAATTTTTCATCTATAACAGGAGCAAAGTTTGGTACCAACAACACCAGTGGTAGATATATATATTTGCAGTTGTGGTTCTTCTCCTAGTGTTATGAATATGAATTTTCTTTTAAGAAATGCTTGTGACTTAGCACTAAGGATCATTACTTGTTTGATAGCTTACAACTTGTAGTCCTTTTTCCGTTTCACATTATCCCCATGCACTGGTACGACACAACAATATTGAGTATAATCTTTGTGCAAATATAGCAAGCACGACTTGAAATCAACATGTGTGCAACATGTTCACTAAATAATTATGTGCGGATATAGCAAGCATAAAACTTGAGTCCAGTCTAAACAAGAAATAACTTGTGTCCGGTCAAAAAGCATAATAAATTACATCTGGTCAAAAAAAGCATAGTAACTTTAGAAATCATTATATGCAAATAAAACAAGAATATCCATTCCAACCCTAATGTGATTTTTTGAAAATTGAAAATCTTTTAACCTTTTGAACAAAACAATTAACATGAGTTCAAATAAAAATGGCTAGGTATTTGATTTCATGAAAGGAGCAAGCTGGTGCCATTTGTGTCACCAAATAAATTCTTACCATAACTTTGTCTTCACCCAGAAACTCGATAATTTTGCCAGTCCAGAAACAATCATTGTACCACCAGTCAATCAAGTCACCTACTTTCCAAGGACTGCTTACAACTGCTACAATATCCGTCTGTGGCCAATGCTCAAGAATATCATTCTCCCAACACCACTGAGGAAAACGAGGTCGTAACATGATCTCCCTATTTTGACCTGCTTTCTGATTACGACATTTTGGGGGAACTTTGTACAGTCTAGTCCATCTCCTTTCTGTCAGTATATAAAAGAAATAATTTAAACATATGGAAAACTAGTGTTGACAGTCTCGGATAAATTATGTGCCATTGCAGGTTTGTTGGCACAACTTTCACAGAATTGGCTCTCTTAGTCAAGCCCATTGGTAACCACTCGGATGCTAGAGATCCGACAGAATTAGTTTGTGCTTTTCTGGCCCCAGTGGACGTAGCCCCTGAGGATCCGATTAATTGTTGGTAGTTGATCGCAGTCGCAAGAGTAGAAGTAGGATTTATTTTTTGAACTTCATAGACTTGGCTCTCTGAGCTCCAAGCCCATGGACATCAGCCAAATTCCGACTAAACTAGAGTACAAATTCTTTGAACTTCATGGACTTGGCACTTTGAGCTCCAAGCCCATGGCTATCTGTTAGATGTTCGTCATCCGACCGAATTTAGTTTGTGCTTTTCTTCTAGTAGAGGGCATAATTAGTGCACACACTGGGTGTAGCCCCCAAGGCTACGATTGACTGCTAGCAGTTGGTCAAAGTCTTTAGAGTAGTAGAGAATATTTGTACTTTATGGACTTAGCTATCTATGCACCAAGACCATAGCAATCAGCCAATTCTGATGAACCGACTGAATTAAAAGTAATTGCTTTTTGAACTTCATAGACTTGGCTCTCTAAGCTTCAAGCCCATGACAACCAACCGTATTCCAAAAAACCAACTAAAATAAAGTTGAATTCTTGTCTTAGGATTTTTCTTCCAGTGGGGGCACGAGTGGTGCACCCACTGGGTGTAGCCCCCGAGATTTCGAGTGATTAGTTGTAATCGTAGTGTTGACGTCTCGAATGAACTGCTCTCCGATTTTATTTTTCATCTTCTGTTTGAACAGAAAATCTACGAGCTTGTACAATGACTTGCGGAAAAGGGATCAATTGCATCTTAACTGGAGCAGGAGCTAATGTAGAACAACCGACTTGAAAAAGAGAAGACTACAATGGCGGTAAGTTCCATAAATCGAACTATCTTCAGTTAATCTTATTTCTGATCCCTGTCCTAACTAATTCCGATAGATACACGTGCTGAAAATAGACTGTTGATCAACCGACTAGAGAATTGAATATGTGCAGAAACCATCCAAAAGAGACTAGAGGCAAAAGATGTCGAGCTGGCCAAGGCTCTAAAGGAGAGGGATGCCCAGCTAGCAAACAAGAAGGAAAAGACTCGACTGAAAATCAAGAAGGTTGAAGATCAACTGAATGAGATCGAAGAAATTGCCAAACTTAACAAGCTGTACCGAGAGGAAGTTGAGAGCCTGAAGAAAAAGAATGACAAGCTTAACCCTGAAAATCGGCAACTTCAGATGAACTTCCTTAGCCTGAAAGATCTTCAACACAAGGAGAAGGCATATCATTAACAAGACATAGAAAGAATCACCCATGCTATGGAAGACAATGAGAGGTACTTGGTGGATCACCTAAACTAATCCACTGAGAAGCTTGCTGGTAAGTATTAATGTTTCAGCCAGATCACCCAAGAATTGCATGATATGCACTCCAGAAATCCACCATCTCGAAGATGGATCAGCCTGATCTGCGGTCTTCTTGTATTGTTCTAGGTCGAATGCCACCATCTGCGCATCAGGGATATCCGACTCCCTCAGCAGGCAATTCTCTGCTCTCTTGACATTGCCAAAGATAGTAATCACGCCTTTTGGGCCAAGCATCTTAAGTTTCAGATACACATAACAAGGTCAAACCCTAAACTTGGTGTAGGCTGATCGCCCAATAATTGCATGCTATGCACTCTAGAAATCCACCACCTCGAAAATGAGGTTCTCTTTCTGAAAAAATCTTGTCACAAAGCACTACCTCCAAGGTAATTAGTCCCAAAGACTGAGGCTTCTTTCCTGGGATCACTTCATGGAACTGCATGTGGCTCACATTCAACTTGGATAAGGGAATTCCCATGTGCTTCAGCGTGCTGGCGTAGATTATGTTTATCCCATTGTCGCCATCCATCAGTCCATACAGTGGTCGGTAACCATTTAGAAGTGGATCTACGATTAGCTCTTATTGATCCGGAGTCAGAACATGCACTAGATGATCTGACTAATCAAAAGGAATGGATATTTCCGACCAATCCAAGTATTTAGTAGTAGATATACATTCACATCCCAACTGCAAAGCTTACGCACACGTTTTGACTCAGGATCTGCAAAGATCAAGCGTACGCCATTCTCTCTCAAATACCAGTTGTCTTGGTCATCCTCCTCTTCGTCTTTGCTCTTGCCTTCAGAAGGCGTTGACGGCCAGCCAACTTGCCTGACATCGTCCTCTTTAGAGCTCAGCACTGTCGAGTGGTGAGGTTCAGGTATACAAGATTTCCGTCATCGTCCTTGGTGATGTGGATGATACACGGTTTGTCCAGAATATCACCTTCTGTGGCTTCCTTTTTACGAGGCATCCACTCTTCCTTCTAGTTTCCTTTTCCTTTGTTTTGATTGGCAATTTCCACCAACTCGGCGCCGCCGACACCATCTTCCCATCTGACTTGCGCTTGTTTTACTGTTATTACTGTTGTTCATGCTTGGCCCTGACTGATTGTTATTCTTCTGATGAGACGGCTCTGTGTGTCCCTTGCCTCTAAGGGTTCGCTCCTCTTCCCCGCCATTTGCATGGCCGTTTGCTATTTCCATCAGTCGGCCCAGGGTGCCAACTTCCAAGTGACCAAGTTTCAAGCACAGGTTGCAATATATGATGCCTTGCTAAATTATGAAGTGCAGTCCATCTCTGGATATACTCCTGAGTGGTTTCATTGGGCTTCTGGACGCACAACTACAGTTCCGTCAATCCATCAGGCCGCTCGTAAGTGCCTTCATATTTTTTGACAAAAAACCCTCTGAGAATCTCCCCAACTGAAAATACCGTTGGGCGGCAAGTGGTTGAGCCAAGCTCGAGCTGACCCCTCCAGCACCAGTGGGAGGTGATTCATAGCAACACCATCATCACCGCAACCAATCTGAACGAGATAATAATCAAGCCAAGTTTTAGGTTTGGAATTTTCATTGTATTTATCACCATCGGACGCCATTCAGGTTAAAACACAAGGGACCTGAAGAACTGGAAGCACTCAGAATATCCCCTTCATAGTAACCATGCTCTGCCCGTCTCCGATTCTGGGCCAAATTATCTTGAGCATCACAACGGTGATCATCCAACCCACGAGTGAATCCTCCCTGCTTAGGACTGCTCGATCATCCTATGGCATGGAGAATCCCCATGACGCCAAGGAGACACATCTCAGTGACGTGGTGAGTAGCCATAACACGGGGATTAAACATCCTGGTGGCGAGGTGAATAATCATTGTGGCTAGGTGAATATCTTCAGGCACACGATGGATCTTCGCGGCGTGGTGGAGTCGGATCCCCATGACGAGACACGTCACTAGGTTGAGGAGGAGATTCGCGCCGACGAGGTGGCAAAGCATTGGGTCTATGGCCCACATGAGGGTTGTGGCTCAGTGTTGTGGTATCAGATCGAGCCGACTTGGAATGCAACAGTTATGCGATTGCGTGTCCACCTAGTTTTGTCACATTTTGTCACAAAGCGACTATGGGCAAAGCAATAACATGACGAATATCATCTGCCGTTGAACCTAACGGCTAAATTAAATCTGCTATCTGATTGGTTGCCACTTGCATTGCGGTGTGCGGAGCGGGGTAGGCTCCCGCGTCAGCAATTGAGAACAGGCGCCTTCAAGACAGACTGGTGCCAGGAGTGTTCCGAGGACGCGCCATCAAGTTATGCTCCACTCAGGTCAAGCGCTCTCGCTTAGCCAATGTGGCCAATCGAGCTGCCTCAACCATAGGACTACAGGTGTGGATTGAACTCATGATGCCTTCAACACTTGTGATGTACACTTTATTGCAACAGTGTGGAGCTACTCCTCCACAACCTTGTGTTGCTTCAGTAAACTACAAGAAATGTAGGTTGTGGGAAGGGAGCTAAGCTACAAGTTTTTGTAAAGTTCGCCGTCAGCTCAAGATAGCCTTGACTACAATAATCAGCATATCTTCTCTTCAAAAAAATTGGGCGGAAGAATTAAAACAATTATCCAAATAGACAAACACTCAAACAAACCTAGAGTAGGAAATAACAAATTCAACAGAAGAAAATAATTTTATTGGATTCTTGATTTATCGGCAAAAACAATTACTTACTTTCATCTGGATAGTCTATATACTCCACCTGACACTCCAGGTGACCTTCCCTGATACGCATGTCGGTGAGCTGGAAATAAAATTGAGATGGTTTAGCAACATCCCATCTCATAATGCAAAACAAAATAGGCCTTTGTCCAAACTCAAAAGTAAAAATATCCTAGTTGGAGCATATGAGATGGATTACCACAAAATGAGATAAGCAGAATGGCTTGCATGAATGCAAGGGAATTAACACTGATTTGGAAACCAAGAGAAACTGAGTAAATACCGATGCAGTTAGGAGAGAGGATAGATGAGGGGCCTTGTAATCTCAAAATTTAAGATTTGGGGAGGACCTAATAAACCCGAACAAAGGCAGTACTTTTTTGATGATGCAAAACTCAGAGATATAGCTACAAGATTAAGTTATTAACCTTTGAAATTTGTTATAGTGACCATGAAAAGTAAATAATATTTCCTTTAATCCATAATAGAGCATATAGACTTTTTGGTAAGTCAAACCTTGTAGGGTTTGATTAGATTTATTGAGAAAAGTATTAACATTACTAATACCAAATAAATACAATATAAAAGTAGGGCTCATGATGTATCTGATGATATATACCTCGTATCATAAATTTAGAAATTTTCTCTACAAACTTGGTCATAGTTTACCAAACTTATAAATTTCCAAAAATCTATATGCACAACATTATGGAACAGAGAGAGTATTACTTACGAAAGTATCATGTATGAAAATACATGTGCATAGTAATTCAAAATGTACTGACAAAGGAGAGATGTATTTACAAACATGAAAAAGCAAGAGTTAAAGAAATTGCACATTGTACCTTGCCACGGAACCATGCGCCCCTATAACCAGCGCCATAGGATCTTGTCTCTATAGCATCTCCAACTTTAAATGGAAGTAATAGGTCCATTCTAAGCCACGCAACTACACCAGTAAAAATTTGTGTCAACTCAGAAGATTAAGAATCACAAACTCAACTAAGTTAAATAAAGTGCATACCTCAATATCAACACTAAGCTACAAAAATAAATAATTATATCATTAGCAATACTCGGGCATGCTCATTCATGATCACAACAACTTCAACGAGCTCACTCCCACGAAGGTGCTTGGGAGGATTATCGCCCACGAGCTAACAATGGAACGCATGGAAAATCTTATGGCCTCAACATCTCACACTAAGAACATGGCATCAAATACCAGGCATTAAGAAAAGATGATAAACATAAGTGGATTCCCAAGATATCAAGGACAGTCACCATTTTAGTGATAGATTCTTAGTATGTCAAAGAATGATAAAAGAGATAAGAAGTTTGGTCAAGACAACACAAGAACTCGGGCAGCTGAAAGAAGAGTCTAACCAATAGGCCTGCTTCGAGCGTGGGAAAACAATCACTCCATTGTGGAATGTTTAGAACAAAGATGAGGGCAAGAGTCAGAAGAAGATAAATCACCATGGCAAGACAATTCCACATGAAGTACATCTAACAGCTAGTATTTTAGGGATGCCAGGGTGGGAAATATCTTGCACATCCAATTCCTAAACTCCCTCATTTTCTTTATCTCCTCTGCTCTTCCAATGAGATATTCAGATAGCAATCAAGCCAAGGATTACCTTGAGGCTAAAGATCAAGACATGTTGCCATTGTCTCCTAGAGAGTTAGTAAACACATGGTTCTTGCCACACTAGAACCTGTCATGAGTCACAAATCAATTCATTTTCTTTTTCTATCTTCCCAAGTAGTACCAAATTATCCAACCAAGAAAAAATCATACTAATCTATGGTCTAGAAATGTTGTAAGATATGCAACACCTATGCAAGCAAGTAAAAATGTTATGTGTTATTTTGGTCAAGTTAGAATAGAAACAAGATCTCAAGCTCATGGTGCCTTTTCCTTTCCTCGACTGTAATCTCACTAATATATATTTAATTTCAATTAGACATGTGTAATTATTACCCCTTCATCCCATATTAAAGGGTGTTATTTCGTTGGTTTCCTTCCTGTTCAAAAACAAAACAAAACAAGGTGTCCTATCTCCACCGATCCACTTCTCCTCGACATGCTCCACTATCCTGTGTGCTTGAGTCGTCCTCGCCTTGGCACCACCCTTTGAATAGTTGGTAGCACTCTTTGAATAGCACCTCACTGACTTTGCCATTAACCTTTCCCTGTTAATTGTTACATGGTGTTGATTGTTGATGGCCATGCATGCGAGCAATTCCCGCTGATTCCTGCACAAAGCGCATGCTAATTGATGGTGACCATGCAACATGCTATAGCCCACTGTTAATTTTGGCACAACATCTGCGGCCTGAGGCGTGTGGGAGTGAGCACAAGGACTAATTAGTGGTGTCACTAGTCTTAGAAAAAAAATTGATACGCCCTCTAATATGGAACATATGAAGAAGGTGTTGTATTTGGCATTCAAGCATTGGTTTTCCTTTTGGATCTTGCTTGATGAAAAGAGAAAATTTCATCGTTATGGGGATAGATCATTGCAATTGCTGGTCTTCGGCAAGGAATGCCTAGTAAGCGCGAGTCATCAGCTCGCGTTGACTACGTCCCTACCCTTTGTACACACCGCACGTCGCTCCTAGCGATTGAATGGTCCGATGAAGTGTTCGGATCGCAGTGAAGGGGGTGGTTCGCTGCCCCCAACGTCAAGAGAAGCCCATTGAACCTTATCATTTAGAGGAAGGAGAAGTAGTAACAAGGTTTCCATAGGTATTGTTGTGACCCTGACCAAAACAGACCGCACACGCGTCATCCAATCCGCCGACGACGACGCTCGGCCAAGTCCTCGACCACCTCCCCTCCTCGGAGTGGAGGCTCAAGGTAAAAGAACCCTCGGAGCCGAAAGCGTCAAGGAACATTGTGCCCCCTGGAGGTGTCATTGGTCTTAGAAAAAAAACGATATGCCCTCTAATATGGAACATATGGAAAAGGTGTTGTATTTGGCATTCAAGCATTGAGTTTCATTTTGGATCTTGCTTGATGAGAAGAGGAATACCAAAGATTAGGAATAACAACAAATGTACACAAAGAACAATTTAGGAGCACTATACTAACTCATTTGAGCACTAGCAACCAAGTAAACCTCAACACGTGATAGATGCAACACCTGAGCTCATATTCTGAGATACATGCATATTTGTCCGTCAACTAATTAATTACGAAAATGAATGTATTCGTGTGCCAAATGGTCACCAACGCACGCGCGCGCGCACACACACACACACAATGCATAGCTAGATTCATACAGGTTAAAATATCAAAAGTTCAAGACACGGTCACGCATAGGCATAACAAACAGTCATTCAAATTTACCTAAATAGCCAGCACTTACATTAGAAGGGTTGCATCTTTTATCATGAACTAGGGTTTCAAATCATCTGAATGTATGTAGGCTAACACAAAAAGATCTAGAAACAAGCCATAAAGAAATGATCTAGCCACCAAAGGTGACTCGGAGAATTACATCGGCTTTCAACCGAAAAAGTTGTGTCTTCGTCGTAATTAAGCTCAAACACAACTTTCTAGGCATCGCCTCTCCTGAAGGAACAACAGTGTGGTAGCGATTCCGCCTGTTGTGAATGAAGGAGGGGCACGAACATGCAATTATTTTCACATCCATGTGAGCAAGCGTCGTGAACTGAACTCCATTTCGAGCTTTGGTTAGATGGTGCAATGGCTTTGTCGTAGCAAGAGATGGAAGCTCTCGCTTCGTCACTTTTCTCGTCCATCCTCGGCGAACCCATGGAATGCGCCAATTGCATTGATCTACTGAGCTGCATCTAGCGATAAACCTGTCCAAGCTCAAGCTACCTCTCTCTAGGGAGGTGTGAGCCATGATTCGTGCTTTGCCCGAGGACATGACTCTGGGCTTTGGACGAGTGTTTGCCCGTGTTCTTCAAATCCCGTTGAGTAACAGCCAAAGTTGATTTCTTGGTGGCTATGGTAAAAGTGTACCATCTCAGTGGAAGCTTGTTACACCTTCTCATCCAGGCTTTCTGGAGACCGCTTCCACAGAAAGATTTGGAGACAAATGAAAGGGATTTCCATCGTATTTAGCCTAGTTCACTCCTCAAAGCTCATTGTTAAGATGATGGAGAATCGGCTTGTGTCTCGTCTGCCTGAGCTTGACGCAGCAAACAAGGGGGCAATTACGAAGGGTCATAGCATTCCGAAACTTTTTCCTGGTTCAGCAAATGGTCAAGATGATGCATGGAAAGGAAGTTGATGTCGTTCTCATTAAGCTCGACATCTCGTACACTTCAATTCGGTTTGGTCTGAGGCAGAGGGAGCAATTTGCGTTGTTTTCGTGCACCTTTAGCTCGGGTCCTCATCAATGGTAGCCCAAGGGACCTCATTTGGCATGCTTGTGTCCTACAATAGGGGGACCAATCTTTGATGCTTTTCATGCTAGTCATCAACATGCTCAATGCCGTGGTAGTTAGGTATGACCATGCATGCTGACCATGCCTACCTTCGACACTTTCTAGAAGTGTTCGTGGGGGCTTCGGGCTTGCGCATGATTATGGTTGAGTGTGATAGTGCGGATCAAGTTCGACACTGGGAAATGCCGACTGAACTTGCGCCATTCCCTAGTAGGCCTGGTGTATTGCTTACAAGGTACCCTGGGCTTCAGTATTGCATGCCTGCACTAGTGTGAAACCTTGGGATGCGCCCAAATATAAGCTTTTTTGCTTGGTCTGCACTGCTAGATAGATGTTGGACCTCTGATAGGTTAGCATGTTGCGGCCTCCCGCCCTTCCACATCCAGATGTGTGTCCTTTGTGCACAAGGTCACCAAAAACTATCAACCACCTCCTAGTCGGTTGTGTATCCTCTCGCGAGGTGTGCGTCAGTATCATGTGATGAATTGATGTTGCCCCCTACAAGGCATGACATGTTATAGTCCTCATGGAGCCTAGCCAGATAGTGGCTCCCCACTGTGGTTAGGGGTGGTTTCAACTTGGTGGCCACAGCACCATGCAATCCATTTGACTGGGAAAAACTAGTTACTGGCTCCCCATTAGGACTAGCGGTGGTTTCAACTAGATGGCCACTGCACCATGCGATATATTTGACCGGAAAGAAATCAGTGTGATTTCAAGAAAAATTCATGTCAGCAGAAAATGTAACTAACCAAATCAAAGATCAATGCCAACAACGGATGTTGGTAGACAATGGTAGTCCAATGAGAATGATTACTTAGCCTTAGTTGCGGTTGTGGCGTGGCTATATCTGAGACCTTTGAATATCTTCTTGTAATTGTAACGCCTCTATATCTTAATATATAGACACAAACCGAGGGTTCTCGAAAAAAAGATAGGCAGAGGCAGAATAAAAATTGCAACTCAAGCGTTGGGTGGCCTGTGAGGATAATAGAAGGAATTTTTAGCATCATAATCCCACTACTACGATTGAATACTGCAAGCACCGGCAAACCATTGATCCCACGTTCGTAAACATGTCTATCATGTAAAATAGGCAGATTATTTTGACTATGATTCTTCTTTTAAACTTGTCTCCATTCCCTTAATTATTACCCGTAGATTGTATGATATGTTCATCCAGTTAAGTTACATCTTTACCTAATAGTCCTAAGGCTTAATTAGCAAAAGAGACCAAGGTAAGTTGGGGTTAGGGAATTTGATATGGAAAAATATTGTCGGCTTGCCTAGGTTCAGTGGAGATGGCAACTTAATGAAAGATGAGCTTTGATAAGCGAACTGCAAAATGGGATTGGACCATATGGCTATCAAGTTTGCTTTTCTTTACCGTGATATTGTGCTATCCTATAATCAGATGTGTTTTAGTGAAATGTGCACTGAAACCACCATAATCAAGAAAGTCCAAGCTCTCCCTTCTGTCCGCCCCTTTATGTATGATACCAAGAAAGTC